AGCAAGATGTGGTGATTTTCGCTTTTTTTTCTTGGCCAGGAATATTTTGGAATAATTCTCCATCATTTTGCCTTCGCAGGATCTGCTGATGGTGACCTACCTGTCCAACCTGACTCAAGCCCAGATTGCCCTCAATGAGAAACTGGTCTGTCTGTAAACTGGATGAAACCAATAGATCTACTATTGCGGTATTGTGCTTAAATAAAGGTTTGTGTTGTCTCCCATGATTCTCCTGGTTGTTGACAGTAGTCATTTTTTTTAGCCGTTCGAGGAAACGTGTGTTACGTCCCCAATGGCTCAATCTAGGGGCGAATGGGGACTAACATATATGAGCCAGGGATCAAATGGACTGAAATACACAAACAAACAAAAAAAACACTTCACTTTCCTACAACCCAATACGCTCTGAACCTGTTTTCAAGGAGTCTCTGTTTTGCAAGAAAATGGGGCTGGCAAAGCCAAAGAAAAGTCTTCAGCAAGCTAACTTATTACACCAAACGAACCCGTAAAACAAAAAAACACACTGGAGCCACAACACTCCCAATCCCCACTACAGCCAAATAGACAAACCTGACAGATCTGGCATTTGCCAAAACTACAAACCAACATCAGTCTCGCAAATAAAAAAAACAACACAAAAAAAGTCTCGCCGTGGTTTATTCCACACCTCTCTTTCGCCGGATGTCCCGTACTGGCCCTTTAAACCCGGACCGCTCTGTTCAGCCAGTCCACGGAGAGAGCCAATTTGGGGACACACCCGCCTCCAAAAATGGACCCCCGCGCCTGAACGTCACAACATGGTAAAACGCAAACCCGGATGAGCGCCTAAGCTTTCCGTTCATTTCTTGGGATCATTCAGTTCTCCTGTGGTGTTGGGGGTTTAGGGTTAGGTTACAGTTCAGCAGGTTTTTGCTTCGCAAACGGGACTTCTGGGGCAGGGGATTGGCGACTCTGTCCCGGTTGAAAAGAGCATCCGAGTCAGCAGGGAATTTTCTGTGCCAAGGGGAGATAGTCTTCATTGGCAAAGCCTCCCCGTCATCTGTTTCCCAATGAAGTTCTAAAGGTCCAGAGAAGCTGTAAAACAAATGAAGATTTCACGACTTGGG